TCTAAAACCAAAATAAAACTGAACACCTCAAAATTACAAAACAAAACAAACAAAAAACAATATCTTTCAAAAAGGTCTCTTCAGTATAATGGATAAATAAAATAATGTTAAGTCAAATTAAAAAGCCGAAGCGCTGGTTTGGGCCTCATTGCCGGCTGCAGTCATTTCCCCATCTCATATATAAAACACCTCTGATTCACAAATACTTGCTAAGGAATTCGCACTCACATAAAGTAGCCTTGTTGGCAAGTTTGGGTAAGTAAGGGCAAAACGCAGTACTTTCAGTGGCCTGTAACAGGCAGTATCACGTCTTTTGTAGCAGAAATAAACTGCTGCAGAAAAAGCTAGGTCCATGCAAAATGTAATGTGTAACTGCAACACTCATTTCAAATGTAGTGGAGTAAAGAGTACAGATACTCATTCAAAAATGTAGTGAAGTAAAGAGTAAAAGTTGCTAATATCTTTGATACTCAGTACAACTACGAAGTACCCGAAAAGATACTCAAGTGCAGTAACTAATTACATTTACTCCAATACTTTACACCTCTGCTACACACATACTAAAGCGCGGATGACGCTCGCGGTGTTTTCAGCTTCTGCCGTCTCACTATATGATGATATGAACACGAATGTCATCTCCAGCTGCTCTGAGAGTCACTTCATTAGCATTTTACCGTTTCATTTGAGAAAACTACCATCATATCACATACACAGCAGCTGCAAGTTCTTCACGGCAACCCGTCAAAATAAAAGTTTAATTTAACGTAAAGAAACTGTCAGAATATATTACTATTTAGCAGTCTTAAGACTCTATGCTACTACTGCTAATAAATATTGATAAATCTTTATTTTTAAGGAATAATCACATCGGTTTTCTTTTTCATTTTAACAGTAAACATCTGTTGTGCAGCACTTTGTTTGCCAAAAAATAAAAGGGTTTAATTTTCATTTGATTAGTAAAAATTTTATTAATGTTTTATGCCTTCATTTGATTATCAGAAAAAATAAGAACATTTTAAAGGGCCCTATTATTGTTTAAAAAAGGACCCTATACAAAAAAAATCAAAGAATGTGTTTAAAATACAGGCAATGTGGTTCTTAATTTCTTTTTATTAATTCACCATTTGTAAACTGATGTTTACTGTTAATTTTTTAGAAATATCAATAGCATTTGTATTAAAACTATATTCACTGAATGTAATCAAAAAAAATCGAGAATCGAATCGAGAGCTTGCGAATCGAAATCGAATCGGGACATCTGAATCGATACCCAGCCCTAGTATCGATGTATCGAACACAGCACTAAACATTATCTGAAGCAGCCATTCTTTACCTCCTCTAATTCTTTGACCTGAGAGCGGTCCTGCTCCTCAGTTTCCTCCTCCTCAGGCACTTCTTGTCGGTCAGTCTGCTCTTCCCTATACACAGTCGGGTATTCATCCACCTGTGAAGAAAAATCTAATATTTACTCCATTCAATGTAAATTCAAGCAGGACTTGAACATCAGGGCTAAACTGATCTCTTGTACTTCATCCACTGAAACACCTGCTGCGGTGCGTGTCGTAGGTCGGCACAACCAGAACCTGTTCAATGCCAAAAACGACACTGATGAAGATAAAACATTAGAATGAAGCAAAATCACTTCTGAATGAAAATGTTAATGCCACATCTGAGAGAGCGGCAAGAAAGGCCCAGTGTAGCATTCTAAAGTTGGGGAGGGGAAGGGCGCACTGAAGTGGAGTCTTTCTAAATTAGCATAACAGTAGGAGCCCAGTCTCATTACTATGCCCTATTACCATTCCTGCTGATATTTGAAATTCAATGAGATGTAAATGTTTGACATGATACACAGAGAATGGGAGATAAACATGCACACAGCTCAGTGGTGGTGAAAATATCATTGACTGTGTTGTCTTTACACACACAAAGAAAGCTCTGGCACACACATAACTCACTGACAGGGAACATATCATCATGTGACTCTGAGCAAATTCTCATACACGCTCAAGCACAGAATGTACAAAAGCATCCGGAGAGATGGGCGCACACTTCTGCGGACTACCTTGCTGAATCTCACGTCCTCCGCCACAGATCTTGTCCCCTTCCGCACGGTCCTGTCTCTGCTTCTACAGCCACCACAGGTCCGCTCTCCATCCCCCTGCTATACCTACAGGTCCTGTTTCTGTCCATCTGTTAAAGCCTACCGGGCCACTAGCCCATTCCCTCTGCTAAAGTCCACATTTCACTCCTTAAACTGAGATTTTATTTTGGCTGTGGGAAATCTGAATACACTGCAATTAACCTGACACACTAAACTCAGTAATATGAAGTAGAAGTGGGCAGTATTGAATTAAAACTACCCATAATATAGTAATGTTTGCTTTCACAACAACTACTTAATCTAAATAGCTACGCTGTAAAGCCGTTTTTGGATATTCTAGTGATTTAAAATTGACCTCATTGTGCTAGTACCTTGGAATCTATCCCCGCAGGGAAATAACACCGTGACAACATATAGTATACAATAAAGTAACTAACATATGTCTGTTAGTGATGTGACTAATGTGCATAAATAGGCAAATACATTTCAAAATTCAGTCAAGCTGTCTGTAATGACAAGGTACTGATCTAAATAAAGTCGGTTATGTCTTACATTAATGTAAACAGGCAGGACAAAAAAATGAAACAAACACATTTATAAAGTTGGGTCAAAAGCAGTGGTTCTTAAAATTCTTTTTAACTCAAAGGCCGTGCATTGTCCAATACAATAATCAAACGATCCACATTGTAAGATCTTCTGCCTTTCTGCTGTAATTATGACAAAGTTGCTTGTTTTCTAGCTTGTTAACGTTTTTATTAACAGAAACTGAAAGTGTTCATATTTTACATTTACATACACACAATAACCACAATTAATTTTGTGATCCCAGTTTCAAGAACATGCATGTTCTTAAATAAAAACTACTATATATTACTACTATACATTACTACTATATTCTTTTTTTTTTTAATTATGCTTATTTAGCATTTTAATTTAGAGTTAGATATTTTGATATTTGAACAATTTATTAATTTAAAAGATTCTAAGTCATTCTCCATCCCTCTTGGATGTTTGCTGAGGCTCCCTGGTTACAAGAC